TAACACAGGGCCCTGAGCAAGCTGGGTTGTCATTGTGGGAATGACTGGTTAGAGGGGGGCCTTCCCCTGACCCCTCTGTCTGGGTCGTCCCTTCCCCATTGGGCAGCTTGAGCTCCGGTCTCCTGCCTGCCCAAGATCCCAGGAGATGCCCTGACTCCTGTTTTTTTGTCCCAAGCCCATTCCTCTCTTGGAAGCTGCCAGCTCCTTTCGGCGTGGGGAGGACCTGGGGATGCCTCTGACTCTTTCTGGGTTCTGGGGGCTTCTCCTCTTCCCTGGCTCCTCCAGGAAGAAGATTATCAGGGTGGGGATGTCCTGAGGCAAGACTGTGGGCACAGCAGTGCCCAGCCTGGGGTCCCTCACGTCGCGGTGGCAAGGGGCTGGTCCTCAGCAGCATTTCTCACCACAGGCGGGCGTGGAGGGCAGGCTGGGCTGGCTCCTGTCTTACTGCTTAAGCCCTTTCCCTGGTTGGGAGCCAAGCAGCCCCTCCTCTTATCACGGAACCGGGAGGGCCAGAGCCAACACCCTGGCAAGGCCAAGTCAAGGTGATCACGTGTATCCTCGGGGTAAAGCAGAGCACCTGGGCCAGAAGCGTGCTCAAGGTCACACAGCAGACTGGTGGGGCAGGCACCACGAGGCTCTCCCTCCCCCATTTCACCTTCCACATGGAGCCATCAATGAGTAACCTGGCCATTTCTCAAGCTTCCTGAGGAAGGGTTCCTTAAACTCTCTGAGCTCTTCCTGCATCTCCCCAGGCCTTAGGGAAGTGGGACCCCCCTCTTTCACTGGCCTGAATTAACCTCTGAACCCAGGACCAGGGAAGGGAGGATCAAGGAACGACACAATGCTGGCCTTCACCTGGACTGGGAGTCAGAAAACCGGATCCTGACTCTTTTCCCCTGTCGGGGCTCGGCTCCTGATCTATAAAATGAGGGGTAGTCCTTGCTGCCACTGTAGCAGTTCCTGAACCGACCTCCCACGGTCACCCCAGACCAGCAGGCTCTGCGGCCCCGCCTGGCTGGGGAATCCGGGAGCTGCTGAGCACACTCCCCTGGCAGGGAGGAGGTGAGCACTGGGGAAGGGAGCTGCCAGTGGCCGGAGAAAGATCCCAGGGAGCAAGCAAAAAAAGACTGTAAGATCACACTGACTGCACATGCACAGCAGCTGCAGGAGACAGAGCTTACCGTCCGCATTCATAAAGGAGCTAAGTATTCCCCCCCTGCAAGCTCAGAGGGACTGTGTGTAAATGCTTTGCCCTGAGCTGCCGCTGGAAAGTGGAGGGTTAGGAGGACCAGTCTTTTTTTTTTTTTTTAAATTTTTAATTTTCAATTGAAGTATAGTTGACATTCGTATTTTATCCGTTTCAAGTGCACAACATAGTGATTGGACATTTCTGTATGCTAGTCCAATTATACATCCTACTACATTTGTGCTGCCAAAGCTGTTTTGACATTATTATTCCATAATTTTCAATTACCCACGTTCCTGGAAGGGGCCTTTGACCAAACCATTAAGTGACCGAGCCAATTAGTCTATTTCAGTCTGGCTCCGGGATGTATCTGGGACTTCTTTTCCCTTGGCTGCAGTACACCGTTCTCAAGAAATGTGTTCAGGCTGAGTTTTGGAATGCCCAGGCACAGCCCTGCTGAAGCAGCTGAGGAGGGCAGGCCGTTGCTGGGGTGGAGACACAGGCTTTCCTGTGCCACAGCTGTCCCCAGGAAATGGGGCACGTCTCCAAGATGGGCTTTGCCCTCCCCAGCCCTAGCTGGTTAAGTGGCAGGTTCAAATCATGCCCCAGGGGCTGGCAGGAGATGCAGGAAGGGGCCTTCCCAGGCCAGTTTCCCTCCAGCCTCTCCTTTCTGTTTTCTCATCCCTTCCTGGCTGTCCCTGAGCCCGGGAACAAAAATCTTCCCTGTGGGCATCAAGTGTCCTCCAGAACGATAAGGTGAGAAGGTACAAATGGAAGAGAGGAGAGGCCAAGATGGGGCAGTCCACTGTGACCGTGGCCCTTCTCCGGCCCTTCCCCAGCCTCCTGCTGCTACACTGTCATCCCAGCCCTACCTAAGGCTTTATCTCTGGCCTCTGTCTCTGTCTCCGACTCTCTCTCTGTCACGTACCACAACTCCCGCATGAGGCCCCACTAAGTCTCCAGGCCATCCTGTGTGGGGTGACAAGGCAAGCCTTCCTCAAGCACGTTTCCCATCTGGGCGGCAACAGCCAGCACCCCTGGATGGAACAGCAGCTCGGGGCCAAGCGCGGTGCCAGGCACGGGGCCCGCAGCGAGCAGGCTGCCGCACATGCCTTGGGAAGCTCGTCACGGAGCCAGGAGTCAGCAGTTATCCCAGGAAGGGTTTGAAGCTGCCAGAGCGCCCGCAGAGGGACCCCTGGGGGCTCATGTTCCAGCCACCACAGCTGTTCCCGCTGGTTCCCAGCCGGGTCTGTGGCCCAGCACCAGCCCTTTTACACACACACACACACACACACACACACACACACACACACTCCCTCTCCCTCTCTCTGTCCACCACGGAAGCGCAGCGTGGCCTAGGCATTACCAAGATGAAGACCTGGGTTCGAGTCCAGACCCTCGGCTGCTTTCTCACACTCTCTCAGTCCTAGTTTACGTGTGGGTCCAGCAGGCACCATCGCAAAGCTGACCACCCTGGGCCTGTGAGCAAAGGTTAGCTGTCATTTTCTTTTCCCGCAGCTCTCCTGGCCACGCTCACTTGCTGATCCGACGTCCCATTCCCACAGGGCTGTTTTGTTTGATTGATTGTTTGTTTTTTAAGATTCTATTTGTTTATTTGAGAGAGAGAGAGCACGAGCCAGCAGGGGTTGGTGGGAAGCAGAGGGGGAGGGGAAAGCAGACTCTCCACTGAGCAGGGAGCCTGAAGCGGGGTCTCGACCCCAGGACCCCGGGATCGGGGCCTGAGCTGAAGGTGGACACTTAACGGATTGAGCCACCTGGGCCCCCTACAGGGCTGGTCATTAGCCACATTCGTCTGGGTCTTTCAGGGCCACAGTGATAACGTGTGACCTCTTCATGACAGTCTGCCCTTGACTTGCGGTGTCCACGCTTTACTGCAGAGTGGTGAGCGAGGTGGTGGAGAGGTCACCCCACCCCGTGTATGTGCGCACTCGATGGGGAGAATAGTGGAGGGGGAGAGGGGGACCTTCTTGCTATCCCTGAAGTCAGGCCAGCCAGGAGGCTGCCGGGTTCATCTTGTGCAGGCAAAGGAACGGAAAAGAGTGAGTGAGCAATCATGAGAAGCCTGCCGCGTTCATCACCCGTGGAGACATGGGCATCCCCTCTGCGCCGGGTGCCAGGGAGCGAAGGGAGACTCGAGGCCGGTTGCAGAGGCAGACATGCACGAAGCTCAGTGGGTCCCCCAAGCTGTCAGCAGGGGAAGGGGGGCCGGGAGAGACCTGAGCAAGCCTCCCCACGACACCACCCTCCTGGCCCTCCTTCTAGTGGCTGGGGTGAAGTGTGGCCGGAGTCCGCATCTTCCTGCTCACACAGAGTTGGGAACAGACAGGGGTCATGATCAGTGATCTCCCCAGCAGATCAGCCTGGAAACAAGAAAAGAGGAAGTAATGAACTAGTGCTATCGGCAGAGGCCTTCTGATAACGGAAGTAATCAAAGATGGACCAAAAGGAGAAGTAGAGAGCCAGAGGGGGCAGAGGCATGACCATCAAGGGAAAGACATAGCTGAAAGCTCTCCCGGGGCCTCCCTCTTTTCCTTAATGTGCTGGAACCTCAGGTCTTCTGGCCACACGCCCCTGCCACTTCTCCAGGTCCAGCTGCCAGAACTTTTCATAATCTGAAAACCTTCTGTTATAACCTCTTTGTTCCAGAACCACCTTCTTCTTCTTCTTCTTTTGTTTTAAAAGTAGGCTCTATGCCCAATGTGGTGCTTGAACTCACAACTCTGAGATCAAGAGTAGTATGTTCTGCCGACTGAGGCAGCCAGGCATCCCAAGAACCTTCTTCCTACCCAATGTCCTTCACCCACATTAGCCTTTCAGAGTGTTTCCAGAAAACACTAGACATCCTTCCTTTCTCAGAGTCTGGTTATTGGGTAGGGCGTACCAACATGATCTTGACGGAGCCCTAAGACATACCATTCACTCGCTCACTCGTGTTCCATTCACTTCCCCTCATTCCTGAGGGGAACAGGACTCAGCCTGCCTGTTGTGGGCTCTTCTGCAGGAAGGTCAACCTCCCAGATACCTCTCATTGGGGACAGCCACAGGGACTCCATTCCAGAAACTTGCAGAGCCAAGATCTCTGCCCAAGGGCCAGGGGGATGGGGTGGAGGAAGGTGCCAAGTTACCCAAATACCTTGGCTGCGGGCTTTGGTTCAGGTGGTTTTAGTTGGCGCCTGTGAAGGGCCCTTTGGCCATTCCTGTGTGGGGAGAGCGCACTGCAGCCCTGCTGGGGAGGGGAGAGGTTCGGGTTCCACCCCAGGCCCCACCCCCACCGTTTCCCCGAATATGGCACAGTACCTTGGGATACTCAAATCAGATGCCCCTCACACATCCGTGAGAGAGACCGAAAGACCTCTGTGTATAATAGTTTATGAGTAAACTATTCATTTATTATTTTAAAGGTTTTATTTTTAAGTCCTCTTTCCGCCCATCTTGGGGCTCGAACTCACAACCCCAAGATCAAGGGTCACACGACTCTACTGACTGAGCCAGCCAGGCGCCTCTACCTAAGCAATTTAAAACTGCTTGTACGTGAAACAGGAGCAGTTATGCTTCCTTCAGTGCATATCCTGGGCCGCCTCTGTGCGGCAGGGACTGCAACCCGAGAAGACGGGGGACACGAGGGACATCGCATCTGCAAGCTCCAAGCTAATGACAGAGCTTCTTCCGCAGCCCCCTCCCCTTTTCTACCAGAGGCATCCCCGAGGCTGCCCGGCGGAGGGAGGGCAAGGAGGGGGCTCTGTATTTGGAGAACCCAGAGCCCCTCCCCTGACTCACGCCTCTACTCCTGCAGCCTGGCCCAGTCGTTATGGGCCCTCTTCACGTCCACGCTGGCCATCTCGCTGGTGTTTGCCATCATCCCCTTATGCCGAGACGTGCAGGTGCTGGCCTCAGTCATGGCGCTGGCGGGCCTGGCCATGGGCTGCATCGACACCGTGGCCAACATGCAGCTGGTGAGGATCTACCAGAAGGACTCGGCCGTCTTCCTCCAGGTGAGTCCACTCGTGGGCATGGGGCTGGGTGGTGGGAGGCCACGGGGTGTTCCCTGGGCCCTGGCCACCTCTCCCGGGCCCCTCCCCGGCGCTAGGTGTCTTTTACTTTAGGCCAGTTGGTGATGCGGTAGGAGACCTGGGGACTCAGTGCAGTGTGGCCACTTCTAGTCACGATCTCTGGACTTGGGTCTCCTCCTCTCTCAAAGGCTGTCATGCTCCCTGTGTGCAGGGTGGTCACGGGAGTCTAGGCGCCCCCCCCCCCCAGAAGAGGTTCTTCGTGAACCCGAGAGTGCTATGATGGCAAGACCGGAGGGCTTGTTGTTTTCTTGACTCCTTCCCCCTCTCTGTATTTCCCTTCCTGTCCAGCCCTGCCCTTTATCAAGCCCCCATCCTTATGGGGGTGTTAGCTGGTAGATGTTATCATGGGGCCAGCCCCCAGTTGTGGTTAAGATTTGGGAAAGAAGGAAGTGGGAGGGAGGAGAATGGCCACTGTCACCCAAGTTCTCCCAGACCAAGAAGGTCGTGGAGAGGAACATCTCTCCTCACTTCTCCTGCTTTCCTATTGCTCCCCCACTCTGGGACCAGGCAGGGGCTCCCCAGATGGGGCACAAAGTGGGGGATGGGCTAGGAAGCTTGAGCCATCCCCCCTACCCCTGCCACTTCTCTTCGCTCCTCAGGTTCTCCATTTCTTTGTGGGCTTCGGTGCTCTGCTGAGCCCCCTGATTGCCGACCCCTTCCTGTCTGAGGCCAACTGCTTGCCTGCCAATGGCACAGCCAACAGCACCTCTGGCAGTCACCTGTTCCACGCGTCCAGGGTCCTGGGCCAGCACCATGCTGAGGTGTGGCGTTTGTCCAACCAGTCACTCTCCAAGCTGCCTCCGCAGGACAGAGCCGGGACCCGTGTGTCATACGCCTTCTGGATCATGGCCCTGATCAATGTGAGTGCCACGAGGGGAGGGCTGGTTGGGGACAAGTGGACAGCCACACCTACCAGTCCATACCAGCTCCCAGGGTAGACTCTTCTGATTATGAGCAACGTGCTGACCTGTGGGAAGGTAAGGGGATGGGAAAACTGACCCCCTCCGGGGAGGTATCTGAAGGCAAAGGGGGGTCACAGGAGGTCCTCTCGAAGGTCCTTGTTGGGGACAATCCATGACTGTGATCTCAAGGGAGATAAAGCCGTGAGCAGGTTTAGCACAATGGAATCAGGGTCAACTTTCAAGCCATCTTAGGCTCCATGGGAAACCAGCTCTTTTCCTCTGAGGCCAGACAAAGCACATCCAGGGGCAGAGCCCTGTATGATGTCAGGCTCTTCCCCAGGGCCCTTAATCGTTGGTGGGATTCTCCTGCGCCCTGGTGTGAGGTGGGCTCCTGCGGAGGCTGGGGGATGGACGAGATGACCTCTGAAGGATCCTGCCTACACCAAGGCTGCCACAGAGCAGAGCAGAGAGGCCACTCACAGTGACTGGGTCAGTTACTAAGGCCGCTCTGCTCCCCAGCTGCCGTCCTCCCCATCAGCCTGACTGTCTCTGGCTAGAAACCCCCGGTGCTCTGCAACAGGTTCTCGTGGAGGAGCCCAGGCTGTGGCCAGAGGCACCCCTACCCTCTCTGCAGCTGGGGATGCACCGTCAGAAGCACCAGCCGCAGATCAGGCCTCCTGGCTGGGGCCCGGCCTGGGCTGGGGGTGCCGATGGAGTACTCCAGGGCCCCATTTGCCTGACTGTGGGCGGAGGACCAGATGGCTTGTCATGACTGAGGGCCTCAGTTGGCTCCGGGCAGACTTGTCCCCCCTCCAGGGACAGGCAGGCTGGGTTCAGGCACCCAGCTGCTGTTGGGCCTCAAAGTGACAGGGTACATGTCACACTGAATGGGGTCTCTGAGATCATCCAGTCCTGTGGAGCAGCAGAGCGGGGGTGGCACACCGTCCCGGGGACCATCGGTGGCTAGTAAGGACCGGATCAGTGGCTAGCAACGCTCTGGCCGGGCTGGAACCCTGGATCCGCGCACAGACCCCCTTCCTCCTGCCTCAGAGTCAGCGCTCATTTTTCCTTTCTTCTCCTTTGTAATTTTCCTTGTATCAGAATCTTCCCTCGGGGCTCTCCAAAACCCAGGCCCCATCTCTTGCTCTTTCCATGTTCTGTCCATGCCGATCGTTGCTTTGGAAACAATACAGTGTTGGGCGTGTGGCTGCCAAGGGGGTACCTGCGAGGGGCAGGAGCACTGTCCAAACAATGTCGAAGCTAAGACTCTGGGACCAGGAAGCCGGAAGGTCCAGCTTAAGTGGCAGTCTGTTTTCTGTTGCCCCACGAAGTGCAGACTGGAGGCGCTTGGCTGCAGGATGTCCGGACTTTTATACTGGTTTGTTTCTGAAGATAAACAGTCCAGCCCAGAAGAGAATGGGGCCGTGCACGCTTGTGGTCATGCATGTTTACACTCACTCCCACACACGCACCCGCACAGCCCACCCGCACAGCCCACCCAGCACTCTCTGACTTTGAAGGTGGAGCTCGCCTCCTCTGAATGGGCTTCTCATAAAGGCAGTGTTCCGCAGGGCCAATCCCCCGTGTCGTCCTTCCCACCACGTGCCTCCCTGGAAAGCCCCACTTGCAGTGACCAGGCTCTTTACAGCTGTTTCCCCTTGGCCTTCACTCAGGCCTTCTGCTGCTGCAGGCCTCTGTGTGAGGGTTTCCTGTTTCCCCCATCAGACTGGAGGGAGGGCTTGTCTCCCCCATCAGACCTGGACTCCTGAGGGCGGGGGTCATCTCCTCCCCCTTGGGCCTGATGTGTGGTGCTGCCGTGGCATGTCTGGCCTGGACGCAGCTCCGAGTACGGAGGGAGGCTCCTGCAGGCACAGCACTGCAGGGAGGGGCCAGCACTAGGCTGGTGTTCTTGGAGGGGGCACCCCTGGGAAAATGCCCCCATGCGCCAGCCTGGCTCCAGGGGTGGGGAGGCCCCCTCGGCGCCACGTGGGCCCTGCTGCCTCCGGCGTCCACAGTGGCTGCACCCATCGGGGCGGGGCGTGGGGGGGAGGTTGGGGAGGGCCTCTGGGGAGCTTCCGCAGCCCCCTGGGGCTTCCTTTCTTTCCTGAGCGAAGGGAACTGGGAAGAAGCTGCGGCAGGAAGCAGAGGTCAGACTTGACGAAGAGCTTCCTGGAGGCGGGGGAGCTTGGATGCAGGCCGGGCACCCGAGGGAGGCGGCGGAGGCTTCTCCAGGCAACCGCAGAGGCAGGAGACACCTCTCATTGCTCTGGGGGTTCCCGAAACCCCAGTGGCTTAGTGGGACTAGCCGCGCGCGGAACACCGGGCTTGTGTGTGCATGCTGCTCGGAGCCTGCATCAAAAGCAGCGCCTGTCTCCACTTTTCCAGTTTGGACATGAGGCCCCTGAGGACAGGCTCTGTACCTCCTCAGAATAACGTCAACCAGACAAGCCCCGAGGGGGCCTTGGCCCTGGACACAGTCAGGGCACCCAGGCTCCCCTCCCACTCTGCCCCACATCGGCTATGTGACCAGGCACTAAGGTTCTTGGGGTCTGTAGCTTCCGGTTCTGATCTCTTCCCATTGCAACAGGTCATGACTGAGTCATAACTTTGAGCCTCAGTCGCCCCATCTGGAAAATGGGCAAAGTAAACAAAAGCAAGCTGTCTTTGTAAAGTGTCAGTTGATGTCCCGGCACGAAGCAGTGTGGGGGTACCATTCAGGGTAAGGATCTTAGAAACGAGTTTATCTCTGGCCCCTCTCCAGGACCAGAGCCCTGGTATGAGTCCGAGTCTGGCGTGGGACAAGGAGCTGTCTGCCAGAAAACGGATGTGGTTAAGGCTGGGCCGCAATGAAACCAGTCTGCGCTGGGTCAACACACCTTGGCACCCTTGGCCGGCGACAGTGTATTTCCCAGGTGGACACCCCGGGGAAAGAGCTGTCTTCCATCAGGACTGTGCAGACACTCGCTGTTCGACCGTGTGGTGGTGTCAACAGCGGGGCCAGGCTCGGGAAGGGGCCCGCCTGCCAGGAACGGGGCTCTCCTGACCCTCTGCCCACCCCCCAGCTCCCGGTGCCCCTGGCCGTGCTGTTTCTGCTGTCCAAAGAGCGGCTGCTGGCCTGCTGCCCCCAGAGGACACCCCTGCTCCTGTCTGCCGATGAGCTGGCGCTGGAGACGCAGCCTCCCGAGAAGGAAGATGCCTCCTCCCTGTCCTCAAAGTTTCAGCCACACCCAGGTGGGGGCTCTAACGACCTTTGCCGCCCACAGCCCCACACCGAGGCTGCCCTGGTGTCCCCTTCCCCCGGAGGAGGAACGTAGATCCCATCCTGGGTAATGGTGGCTGGAAACAAGCCACGGCACTGCTGGCTGGCGAGAAGGGGCTGGAGAGATCCTGCCAAAGCGTGCGGGTTCGGGTTGCCATTCAACAGCCCCAGCCTCCCCTCTGCCTAGACCGGCCTGCATGACCTGGGCCCAGTTACTGGAGCGCTCAGAGGCTTGCCTCCACCAGGACTGAGAGGGCCGTCCCTAACAGGTGGTGGAAGTTAGTAGAAGGTGGGAGGCGTACGTGGTTCCCATTCTGCCAGGCTCTCTACCTGCCAGCGGCTTCCCTGGGGCCTGCAGGGGGGGAAGGAAGGAGCAGGAGCTGAAACTCACCCTTCGTCCTTGTGTCTCCTCCAGGCCACAAGGACCTGTTCAGCTGCTACCAGAGGAAGAATTTCAAAGGAGCCCCTTGTTCCTTCTTCGCCATCCACATCACAGCGGCCCTGGTCCTGTTCATGACCGACGGGCTGACGGTGAGCCTGCCCTCCTCCCGGGAGACTCCAGCTGGGGGTAGCAAGAGAAAGAGCCAAGCATCGTGGTTTCCTAAAGGCCTTACCTCTAGTACAGTGGATTCAAACACTTATGCTAAATGGGGGAGACCGTCTGCAGAATTGTTCGCAGCCCCTTGGTACCATCTCTTCTGTCCTAACCCATTGTCTTTATTTTCCTTAACTCTGTGGCTAGGGGCTTCTCTGGTTTGTTCCCAAGGGTGGGCTACCCACATTTGTTTAAAGGAGCAGAGCCCAGGGGCGCTTGGGTGTCTCAGTCGGTGAAACGTCTGCCTTCGGCTCAGGTCATGATCCCAGGGTCCTGGGATCCTACATCGGGCTCTCTGCTCAGCAGGGAGTCTCCTTCTCCCTCTGACCCTCTCCCTTTCCCCCCACCGCTTGTGCACATACACTCTCTCAAATAAACAAAAAAATCTTAAAAAAAAAAATAAGTAAAGGGGTAGAGCCCTATTTCTCCAGGTAGAGGTCACGCTGTGTAAACCCGAGGGCACTCTGCTTCCTGGAACACACTCCAAACCCCAGCTTCTCAAGCTGTGTGGTAAACAAGCGACAGGCAGGGCTGGGCCCAGCTCCGTGACCTACAGGGGCCTCTGCTACTCTAGTTAGTGTCTGTCCTCAGAAGTCTCGGAGGATCCGGTCGGGGTCCTTCTGAATGGCTGACCGAATTAACTGACTGCCATATCAGGGTCTCTCCAAAGAGAAGGCCCCAGGAGACAGATGGCCCAGGGGGAAATACACGTGCTAGCCCTGGTTGACTTCCAACTCTCTGTGTGACCTTGGGCAGCTCACTTCTCTTTGCCCCCTCATCTGTCAAATGAGACACTCTGACACCCCTTTTGTTCAGCTGTGGTACCCTTCCTTCCTGTGGCATCCTCATAAATAAGACATGTGGTGGAAGTCTGCTCCGTTGGAGGGACGGGGAGAAGTGCCCACGTGCCCAGACCCCCTGTGGAGACCCAGAGACACCCCCTCCCCCACCCTGCCACTGCCTCGCTTGGCCTGCCCCTCAGGACAGGTGCAGTCTGTAAGCTGTGGCATGGTATGTGTCCTGTCCTCAGCTCAGGCCTGCTTGTGTCTAGCGATCCTGGCTCCAAGCCCCCCTTTCACTAAGGCTCTAGGAGCAGGACCAGTCCTTCCTCAGCCCTCAGCACACCTGCCCCCACCCTGGGTTTCCTTTTCTGAGGGTCCAGCTGCCCCACAGGTGTGCTCAGCAGGGCATGTCTCTCCACAGGGCGAGTATTCAGCCTTTGTATACAGCTATGCAGTGGAGAAGCCGCTCTCTGTGGGGCACAAGGTGGCTGGTTACCTCCCCAGCCTCTTCTGGGGCTTCATCACCCTGGGTCGGCTCATCTCCATTCCCATCTCTTCCAAACTGAAGCCAGTCACCATGGTTTTCATCAATGTGGTAAGTGGCCTCCTATCACTTCCTGGAAGCACAGGAGGGCTATTTATTCCTGGCCCTCCTGCTGCCCCAGGACATTTGCTCAGGACTGGACTCTGCCAGCAGAGCAGGAATGTAGTAGATGGAGGAAAGCAGAAGTGAGAGGCGCTGGTGAAGAAGGGATGGAAATCCAGAAGGTGGAGCCTCTCTGTGTGACCTTGGTAAAACCTCTTTCCCTCTCTGATTCTCTGATTTTGTACCCATAAAAGAAAGGGGCTATAAGAGGTGGTTACTGCTGTGAATGGAGCAGATCCCAGGGCACAACCTGCCAAGGGTACAAGGGAAGCAGGTGCAGGCCTTGGTCCTCCTGTGTCCTCTTGGCACCCAGCTGGTCAGAGCCCCATGGCCACCTGAATCACCATCTCTGGGCTGGAGCCTCAGAATCTGCATTTTGAAACTCTCCCAGATGACTCTTTGTAGCCAGACTAGAAGGTAGGATGGGATTCAGGGAACTGGCCTGCCTCGACGGCTGGGTGTCCGGGCCCAAGCATTCAGACTTTGGACCTGATGTGTGTCCATGTCAGCATCTATGATGAAAGGTCTAGATTACAGATTCCTGTAAGGTCATCTAGCCCAGCCTCCCTTCCAGGGCTCCAGTCACGTCTGTAACATCCCCTCTAGGGGTCCACAATCTGCTTACATACCTGCAGTGACCGGGAACTTATCTCTTTCCAGGTAGCCAAATCCACTGTCAAAAAGTACTTCCCTGCGTTGAGTTTCTAGCGGAAAGGGGGTCGGGAAATAATGCTGGGGCTACAGAGACCAGAGACCATGAGCTGCAAGAAAGGCCTTATAATTGGCCTTGTGCTGGTCGATGACCTCTAAGAAAGAAATTTCCATTCACCGTAGATGGGAGGTAGTGTGGGCAGAAGCCAAACTCAAGAGGGAGAGGGAGACAGGAAGTGGAGGTGTGACTGTGGCAAATATTTCTGAGTTGGAGAGAGTTCTGCTTGACAGGAGCCTGTGTGTAGGCAGAGGAGAAAGGGAGGAAGCCTGGGAGGAGGGGTCTGGGCAGATGCCATTGTTAGAGAGGAAGGCCCCCGGGTGGGCATGGGGACAGACTGCAGTGGAGAAGGGATCGTGAAGCTTAGTGAGGAGGAGGTCGAGGTGGTGCTCCAGGGAAGGAGCAGGTCCTGGGGTGGAAAAGAGTCGGGGTACATGTGCTCCAGGTGGCCAGCCTCTGCGAGACCCAAGGTCAGCTGCTTAGACAGAGGACAGTGGGGTGGGACTCTGAGTCTGGGGGGAGAAGAGCATCTGAAGTCCCCATATGCCTTAGCCATTGATGATAAAAAACGCACCTGCACTACTGGTTTTTTAAAAGGAAACTCATATTCCTGGGCCCAGCCCAGGCTTCATGAACCGCAGTGTCCAGGGGAGGGAACCTAGTGATCTATACATTTAACCAACACCCCAGGGGTTTGTGTCATCAAGCAAGTGTGGGAAAACACCATCCTAGAGCAAATGACTCCCAAATACATTACCGGTGCTTTTGCAAAAGACAGATTCGGCCCCTCCCCCAGAGATTCAGACTGGGGTGCAGAGAGAGGAGCCGTGGCACCTAGATCGTTTTCAGGGCCTTTCAGCTGCCGTTGGTGGGCACCCCCTTAGGGTTACCATTCCACAGCCCTGAGTGAGTTTCCTGGCTCCACACCTGCCCAGTGACTGTCCTATAGTCACTGCGACTTCTTCTGAGTGGTCCTCTCATGTTTAAATTCATGGTCACCCTGCTGCCTGTTCTCCTGGGTCTCCACGACCACTTCCCGGTGAATGAACAGCTATAGGGGAAGTTCGGCTAGGGAAGAAGATGGGCAGGGGAGGGTCGGGATGAGGGCGGCTGGCAGGTGGGAAGCAGGCTGCGTGGGAGGAGGGCTGCCTGGTGGAGCTGCTAGCTGGCCCTGGGCGTGCTCAGGCTTTTGTCACCCAGGCTAAAAGAAGAGAGGTGTTTTTCAAACTCCCCCAAGTCTAGGGATTTTCAGGGTGACTCTTCATGGCTTTCCTGTAAATTTCCTGCAATTTCAAATCTGATTTGAAAATAGGGTGGCCAGGCAGCAGGGGGGCCAGGAATAGCATCTTCAAAGCCCTGGTTCTGCCCCAGGCATGCAAGTTGGGAACTGACTTTCCAGAAGGGACCAGTGCCACGGTGGCACGGAGTGGGGAATGGTCCAGGCAGAGGCCACTGCTGGTTGAAAGGCCCAAGGGTGGAGTTAACTGGGTAACTGGGAGGGAGCATGGTGGGCAGGGTCAGCGACAGGGAGCAGGGAGGACAGGTTGGGGCAGCAGACATGGGCTAGATCCTGCAAAAGGCCTTGTAAGCCAGGTTTGGGGTTTTATTCAAAGTGGGAGTAAGGCAGGCCTTCAGTAGGTGTTAGGCAGGGAGTGGACATGATCTGCTTTGTATTTCAAAAACATACTCCCCTGTCCCGGGTGAGAGTCGATCAAGGAAGGAGACAGTGAGGAGCCCGTCTCGAAGTCCACACATGAGAGGCTGCGGCCGGATGAAGGTGGTCAGGATGGGTTTGGAGAGGTCTAAGAGTCTACCTTTTATTTGGGTGGAGTTGGTAGGATTTGCCCTGGCCTGAATGTAGGAGGGGAGGGAATAAGGAATTGAGGACTACCTTAGATATAGGGCCTGTCCACTGGGCCCACATCACTGATGTTGGGGGGCAGGGGAAAGAGTCGGTTTGGGGGAGGAAAGGCCAAGTTCCGTTTGGACAATCATGTCAGCCAGCCAGTCACCCATCAAAGGGGCGGTATTTCGTTCCAGGCTGGAGCTCTGGACACAGGTTGTGGCTGGAGGGATGAGTTTAAGAGACTGGGCGTAGAGATATTTGAAACCATGGCGCTGGACCAGCAGGAAATGCAGACAAAGAAGAGCCAGGGGAGTCTGGGGCCGCGCCAACGTTGAAAGATTGAGCAGAGGAGGAAGAAAGAGCAGTGAGGCTGTGAGGCCATTTTCTGTGCCAAAGAAATACATTATATTTGGAACCTTAACTATGTCTACTGCTTTCGCATTTTTACTGCATGAGAGAAGTCTTTCGCTTCGCTTCTCCGTTGTGAAGAGAGTGTGTCTCCATCAGCCGCCATTTGCTGTGAACCCCCTCGGGGACAGGCTGACAAGGCCTCTGAGCCACAGTCTGAGACTGAGATCTTGCACAGAGACTGGGGGGCTGGTAAAGAAGGGTGAAGGGTAGGGCGCTCATGGGTGGCAGTTGCTGGGTTCGTTCCTCCAGCTGGAGCACGTCCCTGGAATCTGCCTGGGGAGGGTGACCATCCCTTCCCTGTGCCCAGGCTCATTTCATCTGTCAATCAGCCAGGGTCAGAGTGGGGCTGGAGGTGGTTTCTTACATACCTTCTTCGCTCAAAACACAAATACTAGGAGTGAGCATTGTCTGAAGACTCACAGTTTAAGAGCCCCTGTGCTGCTGTCATTTCTCCAGCACTCTCCAGGGGAGCTTTGGTAACCCATTCTGCAGACTAGGGGCCTAGAATCAGAGAGATCAAGGACCTTAAAGCCCCAGACTTGGTACTTACACCTGGATCTTCTGCCTCCAGGCCCAAGCTGCCTGTTTCTTCCCAGCGGAATTTTTTTTCCCCCCAGGGGAATTTTGCATAGAAGGTATTCAGTATTGGGACGCCTGGGTGGCTCAGTTGGTTAAGCCGCTGCCTTCAGCTCAGGTCACGATCCCAGGGTTGTGGGATCAAGTCCCGCATTGGGCTCCTTGCTTGGCAGGGAGCCTGCTTCTCTCGCTGCCTCTGTCTGCCACTCTGCCTGCTTGTGTGTACTCTCTCTCTGACAAATAAATAAACAAAAACTTTAAAAAAAAAGAAAGAAAGAAAGTATTCAATGTTGACATAAAAGCATTTTTAAGGAATTTAGAAAAAGCGTGACTTAACAAAACAATGCCCATGTGACAGAGACCCTTTATGAATTAGAAAGATCTCTGGTCCCTGAGTCCACATCCCAGGGACCTCTAACCCCAAGAAGGAATCTGGTCACAGGAGTCTGAGCTGAAGCCCTGGGTGAGGGCAGCCAAACTGCCACGGCCACCGACCCTCTTCCTGGGAGGTCCTCCTGGGTCCCCAGAGGGTGGGGACCCCACCACCCACCCCTACTACCGCCCCCAGCCCTGCCAGCTTCTCCTGTTACCCCTGGGCTTCCTCTGCGAGCTCACGGCTTTTGGGGCAAGAGAAGCAGCTCGTCTTCGTGAGGAGTGGAGGGCAGAGAGCTGATGGCTTGGCTGGAAGTCCCCGTGCTCACAGATAAGACCTTGGGGACAGGAGGTACTGCCGCGCCAAGCGCTCCTTGAGTGTGATGGCAGGCCGTCTGCCCAGCGGTCTGGACGGCTCCTTCGCCGCCCCCTCCCCCAGCCGCCGCCCTCCGTTCAGTTCCCAGGGCTTTCTCCGCGGAGCCCAGCCTGGGGAAGGTGCAGTTCCCACAGAGTCCACAGGGAGGCGTCCTGGTCACACAGCGCCGCCCTGGGGTCAGGGTGGCCCTTTCCAAGTCAGGAGCCCGAGGCCCAGCTCTTCCCAATGGCTAACAGCCTCCGTCCTTGCTGTCGAAGGTCGGCGTGGTGATGACGTTCCTGGTGCTTCTCGTGTTCTCCTACAACGTCGCCTTCCTGTTCGTGGGGACAGCCAGCCTGGGCCTGTTCCTCAGCAGCACGTTTCCCAGCATGCTGGCCTACACGGAGGACATTCTGCAGTACAAAGGTGGGTGGGCAGGGGTGCAGAGCCCCGAGCGTCCTCCCTGGCTGGGTGCCACGTCCTCCCCCCCCTTTCCGTGGTATATTCCGGCTCCTTCGCTGCTCTACCCCCTCCCCGAAATGCAGGCCCTCCACTAACCTCTGGACTGGGCTGGGAGCCGCTTCACAGGTGGGCCCGCGCTGACCCACGTGGCTGCCCCCATGCAGCCTTACACCTGGGTCCCCTGACTTCGGGGCCCTGAGAAGCAGTAAGCTTCTCTTTCCTATTTTCCGTTTCCCGTGGTGATGCCTACCGACCCACAGCTGGCGATCATGGCTGTGCTGGAAATTCCGAGTCCCAAGACCAGGGCAGTGATGGCATTGGAAAGGGGTTGATCACTGCTCAGTGACAGCACCTCCTGGCTCCACTGTGCTTCTGGGTGTTTTTGGAAGCCTAGAGGAGTGGAACAGCGCCTCTGCGCTTGACTTGGGGTTGTGACAATGGGCTTCTTTGATGTCAGAAACCTCAAATTCTCTCCACTAATCTCCCTCCTCTTTCTGTAGCCACCCAGCTGCATACAGCAAAATATCTTTTCTTAAAATGAGTTAATTAAAAATAATTATGTTTTGAACACTTAACGTTACCCGTAGAAGCCACTAGAGTGCCCTAGGGTGTCGGAAAACCAACGTCAAAGAGGAGCGATTTCTTTAGGGGAGGAGTGGTGGGGTTGGGGGGTGGGGACAGAGTCATAGAGCCAAGACCAATTCAGCTACCCACAGTAACAAGAGATGGGAGGCCTGGGTCCTTGAAATTTAAGGATGATCTCCAAACCCCAAGTGAGTAAATGATGCAGAAAAATAACATGGGTATCCCATGTCACACGGAAGATCCCAGAGTTCTAAGTGGTCAGCTAGTGTTAGAGTCTAGGAGCTCCTGGCTGTTTCTGTCCATACAACATGCAACTCCTGACCCCGAAGTTGTGAGTTCAAGCCCCACCTTGCTTGGGCGCAGAGCCTACTTAAAAAGAAATTAATGAATGAACTAAGCCAAATGGAATAACAGTAATAATAACACCAGTTGGTATTGGTTGATTCTGCCTGCAAATGATCTCTCAAATCCATTTTCTCCTCTCTCGCCATCCCTGCCTTAGTTCAGGCCTTTCCCAGCAGGTGCCTGCTTGGAATCCTCCACGGTGCCCAGCTTTTCCCAGTTTCTGATGGCCTGCCTCCCTGCCTTGGCAGGTCTTGGCCTGTCCCCTTCGCGTTTGCCTCCCTCAGTGGTTCTCAATGCTGCCCCCACAGTACAATCACCTGGAGCACTTGTAACAAACCCCAAGGCCTGGGCTTTTTTTCCACATCGTTCAATGGAACGGATCCAGAGCCACTGGGGGCTCTGAAGTGCAGCCGGGCTGGGACCACTTGGGAGGCCGTCCCCGCACTGCTGCGGAGGGCTCCCTGCGAAAGAGAGCCGGCCGCGGCCTTCCTGACTTCCTGGGGGGCTCTTTTCCTTTCTCACTCCTCTTCCCGTCCCGCTGCCTCTCAGGGCCTGCATGCTAGCCATGGTGAATGACCTGCTGTTCTCTGCCCGGAGTGCCCACTCTGCCCTGTCCCTGCCCACCCCTTCTGGAAGCTTCTCTGAACTCCCCCTAGAAAGCTGTAGCCCTCCCCTTTGTACCTGCCTCAGCTTCTGTATCTGTGTCCTCTCTTCAATGACATGCTCCCTGAGGGCCCTGGAACGTCAGTCCTGCCTGCACACTTTCGGGCTTTGTGATCTTGTACGATTCCCTTTTCTTCCCCTTTCTGAGCCTCAGTTTTCTCATCTACAAAGTGGGGTGCACATACTTACCTGGAGGATTGTTTGTGCATTTGAGGAAATGTAGAACACTTGACTTAGCAGCTTAACCGCCACTCAATCTACATGTTAACTCTAGTCCCCTGAGCCCTCTTGGTGTTCAGCTCAGCACCTGACGCACAGAAAGTACTAGAAGGTTTTCGAGTGAATGAGTAAAATAGATGTGGATGCTACTGGAATTCAGAGAAGGGAGTGACCGGTGTAGAATCCACACACAGCTTCACGGAGTTGATGGGATGGGATCTGGCCCAGGATCCGGAAAGGCAGAAGGAGAAAGGAAAGGCATTCCAGGGAAGGGTGGGGGGCCGTGAACAGGGTGACAGCAAAGGCAGAGAGAGAAACAAATACAAGCCAGTCTGCAAGAAGACCTTGATGCCCATAGTCGACAATGATGATCTCTGTTTTATTCAAAAAATACTAAGCGTCTACTGTATGCTGGCCTCTGAACTAAAATTCGAGGCACAGTCCTGTCTCCTGGGCTTGTAGACAGACAGTGGGGGACCTGGGAAAAGGGCAGGGGGGGGTGCCGGGGGAAGCGGAGAAAGAGCAGCTTAATGCATGTTTGGGGCCGGGGGGAGAGTGCTGGAGGAGGTCTAATGGAGGGAGCTAGAAGATGAACAGCAGCTTGGCTGATGCAGAGGAGGAAGGGAGGCCGCGTATAGCATGCCAGAAGCTGCCTTCCAGCAGGAGTGGGCAGCGGGAAGAAGCCGGGTGGTTCTCCCGGTGGGAGGGAGATGAGGAGAGATCGTGAGTAGGGGTGAGAGGTGGCTGAGCTCTCTGCAGGGATTATAAAGGGCCCTGCAAACCCCCATGAAAGCCTGGGAACTTGATCCTGAAGGGGTGAGGCTGACAGCTGGCAGGGTCTCGAGGGTTCGCTGTGCACCCACACGACGCTAAGCACGTCCCTGTACTGCATAAGACCTCCCAGAGGGCAACCCTGTGGAGGTGTTTGTGCCTATTTTACAGAAGGAAACTGAGGCCTAGAGAAGGGAGAAAACGGGCCTAAGGTCACAAGGCTAGTAGCTGACACCGCGGGGCCCGGGGCCTGAGCCGGACTGGGAAGCTTGGACTTGGAAGGTCTGTGCCATGTTGCCGGAGGGAGCAGAGGTGGGGTCATCAGTGCGGTGCCGGGGCAGGGAGGCCATCCGTCTGCCCAGGGCAGGTCAAGAAAGCTTTCTGGAAAGGCAGGTGGCAGTCAAATTGGGAAGGACCCTTCCTAATGCCAGGCTGAGCAACTTGGAATTCGCCCCCAAGAGAAACCTGAGGACTTCAAGGTTCTAGAACCGTGAAAACATCGTGACAGCAGGACCCAAGCACTCCCGCAGCCAAGTTAAGGGCCAGAGGGTGAGAAATCTGAGAAATTCGAAGTAGTCTTCTCAGGCCATCGCACCATTTTCCAGAGTCTTCCCAGAAATAACTGGGGTTATACCAGCTGACTTCTGTCTCTTTAATTTGCGTTTACTGACCCAAACCCTTCTCTTCGGGTTAGGCTGTGCGACCACAGTGCTGGTGACGGGGGCCGGAATTGGCGAGATGGTTCTCCAGATGCTAGTTGGCTCGGTATGTGGGGAAGCTCGAAGGGAAGGGGCTAGCATTTGGGGGGGGCCCCTCCGAGCGGGCGGGAGGCTGCAGCCAGCAGCTGTCCCTTCCCTGAGGGTCCCGCCCAGCAGGCAGGGCCCCCTCTGTGACCTGTTTGTGCCTCCGAGCCAGCTTTGAAAGCTCGAGCTTCCGAATGTGGGACTTGGAGATGGGAAGGCATGGATGGTCCGGTCCAACGCAAACACCAGGCCTGTCTGGGAGCGCGGCCAGCGGGGCCCTGTGGGAACGTTCGTTAGCTCCCAGAGCCTGGGATGGGATTGATGGAGTCAGGAGTTCGTTTCCCTCCCCTTCTCATTCCACTGTCCCCACCCCACCTCTCCTAGCCTTTGGCCACCCTCCACGGGGCCCAGCTGTCCTGCCCAAGTCCCGCCCCGATCAAGGGCCAGCCCTCCCACTTCTCTTCAGATAGACCCAGGTCTCATCTGCTCACCAGGGGGACAAAAATCTGTTATTTATTAAAGAGTATAAGGCATATATATTGAAATAATTGTCATTGTCCTTCTTCCAAAGGGGGTTACTGAAGGTCAGGTAAATTAGCAACTTGCCCTCAGTCAGTCCGACTTCTACTGAGTAACAGGACGCTCAAGCCTAGGTCTCTCGGTCTCCCACATGCCCTAATCACAGCCCTCCTTCTCTCTTCTGGTACCCTGCCCGGAGGGGGAAGGGCTGCGTCGAAATGACGTGATGTCTGAGGTTTGCTTCAGTGTAATCTAGGGAAGAAGTGGGGCGGGGAGGGGGAGTACAGAGGAAGTTGGTGCTAATTGTTCAAGTCAGGTGATGGGTCCCTGGGAGCTCCATAAGCTCCTTCGGCCTCTGCTTTACATTTTCCGTGATAAACGGACACCCATAAAATCCTCTGCAAAGTCTGGTTAGGCCTTGTGCATAGAGAAACCCTATGCTCAGACTTTTAAGGAAGAGATGGAGATTTCCAGAAGATCCCAGACAAGAGCCAACAGGGACGGCAGGGGTCATGGGATCCAGCCCCTGCCTCAGAGCAGGATTTCTGCCTCCTCCAGAAACATAACCTTGAAGCGAGGCCAAGGTGGCCCTCCCGCCCATGACCTGCCCATCGGGGTGGTGCCGGGGCTGCAGCCCGACTGAGAAGCCTGCGGGGGTTCAGGGAGAGCTGCTTCCTGCTGTCCCCCTTTCATGCGATGGTGTGACGGTCTGTGTCTGTCTCCCCTCTGGCAGATATTCCAAGCTCAGGGCAGCCATAGTTTCCTGGTCTGCGGCGTGATCTTTGGTTGCCTGGCTTTCACCTTCTATATCTTGCTCCTGTTTTTCCACAGGATGCATCCTGAACTCTCATCAGGTAAGGAAAGAATCTGTGTCTACACAAGAGGAGGAAAACGTGGGGGAGGGGGGAGCCGTGAGAGATGCCCTAGATCTTAGCTTGCCACGAATGCTATTCTGTTCCAAGTCAAATGCAAGGAAATGTTTATTTTTCTACGGCTTCCTTTCCCCCTCTTCCTGCTTTGCCATGCGATTGTGTGTGCTGGACGCTTAGGGCAGGAGGGAATGGGATAGGCTGACTCATGCCTTCTCCAGGAGGAGAGGGGCATGGATTGTGAACTTGGCTTCCTGCATCCCACCAAGCCAAGGGACCACGGGCCAAGAATCTCTTTCCAGCCCGTGCGGGGCCCTGAAAGGCAGAGTCTGCCTCCTCGGCTGGAACGCGGCCCAGAAGCCTAATTGGCCATCTCTTTGCAGTTTAGGATTTTGACTTTTGTCCAGATTTCTTTTCCAAAAAGAGGTCCTTCGGGCCAAGCAGCAAAGGAAAGCTCCTTCAGGGCAGAGATGCCTCCTAAGAATAGTTTCGGTTCCTGGAGACCCCAGGCAGGGGAGTCCCAAAGCTATTTTCATACCCCCGAGCCTCCCTGCCTCCTGGCCTTTCTGCCCAGAGATCTCAAGGCCCCAGCAAGCGTATCAGCTCTGCATGGAGCCAGTTCTTAAGAGAGCATGCCCAGGCAGAGCCCTCATTCTCTCCATAAAAGAAAAAAAAAAAATCACAAAAAAAGTGGAACAGGTATCTGTAGTCCTCTCTCTCGCAGGCGGCCACTCAGTTTGGGAGGCCCCTACTTGGCACTTGGCTGTGGCCTTGTTCCCCAGGTGGCAGGTACCGAGCCTAGCGCTAAGCAGGAGCCTTCATTTAGGTTCGAGAAATGTTTGCCGAATTTGCAAGGAGCAACACCTATGGAGTTCCCTATTCGTGGGAGACAAAAAGTAACCTCTCTTCCCCAAGCCCACACTAGTCTCAACAAACTGCCTCCACCAATGGTTACTGGTTCTGGTTTGCCAGAACTAGTGAGTCTGCCTTTGGACTTGGCTCCCTGCCGAGCCCTAGAAGGGGTAGAGAAACAAAAGCCTGGGAAAGCGTTCAGAAGTAATCGTTGCTGCCACACTACCTGTTTTTTTCTCTTGTAGCTCCTACCCAGGACAAAGCCCTAGGGATGGAAAGCTCAGAGTGCTACCAGAGGTAAAGCTGGGTGAAGGGGCCCGGCGGAGACCGCTAGGCCCTTGGGTGCCAGCACAGACCAAAGTGTTCCAGACAGCGGGGGAAGGCCGTGGGGGCATCTCCCCATGCCTTGGCTCAGATCTTCTCCACTAATCCTTGGTTGGGTAGAAGAGATTAAATTGACTTCTGGTACCTGGATCCTCCTGGGGCAAATCATTAGAAGTTTATGGGATGGATATTCAAGTTCCCTTCCTCTTCCCTGGTTTGGACCTTTGGTCAGAGCTGTCCAGGACACCCAGATGGGAAGGAGGAAAACAGACACACGCTTCACTCCGTTGGTCTCCTCTTGCATGGACCATGTCCCGCCTGGGTTTGAAGATCACTTTTAGTTGAAGTTTGGAAGGATAAGTTGAAATTGTAAAGTTCAAAGATCATGGCTAGATGTAAATATATTTTAAATTGGTCGAAAACAAACCCCAAGCTCTTCCCCGGCATGCTCAAAGGGTGTATGTGCTTTTTTGTTTTTGAGAGTCCGAGGTCCCTCAGATTCTGGTTGCTGCTATTAGTAGTTCATTTAACATCTAAAACATCATAAGGAAAAGTTAGATCTTGCTATCTTTGGGACACTAATTCAGTGGTATGCTGGGCTAGCTCAGACTTGCCTTGTTAAAATTTCATTTCGAGAGCTGGTTGTTACAGCCATTATTCAAAATGAAATTACAGAAACTTACAACTAATTAAATTAAAAACAAAGGTCATAACCACTCAAAACTCATCACTTCCTTGAGGGTTTTTTTTTTTTTTTATTTTATGTCTTGCATCTGTATATCGGAAAGGTGTGCTTCTGAGCATCTGTTTCCGACAGCACTTTCGGGGATCACGTGTTTGGTGGCTGGAGATCGGCCACATGGGAATATTCATCCATATTACAGAATTCATCCATATTTACAGAAACCGGTAAAGGCTATGATCCTGGCTCTTCTGCGCTCCCCCGCCGGCCCCCCCCCCAGCCCACTGTTAAACATCCACCAGCATACCACTGCTAACGACCCATGCTAACCGCCCCGAAGTTTCTGGGAGAATGGGATAAAGATTCTGTTTTTTCTGGACTGCACTTCTAGAAGGTGGAAAAACAGCACCAGAACTTCTCCAAAATATCTAATTTTAACTTTCCATCGTTTATAGAGGAAAAAAAGCTCTTTATACCGTGTCAGCTTGTTTTCCTTTAACAAAAAGCCGGGACTGCGGAGCCGTTCAAACGGTGCGGCACACCCGAGGAGGCCTCCTGCCCTGAGTGAGTCCCCTGGTAATGCAGAGGGTGTCCCCAGCCCGCCACTGGGAAAGGGCTGAGAGCACCCAGGTGGCCGTAGGTAGGAAGATGGCTGTCACAGCAAGTGTACATTCGTTTACCTGCAGGTTCTCTGTGTCGGTACAGATGTACGGGTATGAACAGGGAGAGTGCATCCAGGTTCTCAGCAGAGGGTATAAGCAGTGCGCCCCACGCGGACAGGTGTCTCCCAGATCAGTAGCATCTGTCCTGTGAGCCAGCCCCACTGGCACCCTGTGTGCTGGTGGGACTCCAGGGGGAGCCAGCCTGGTGGGGGCGTCCGCCTCCTCCTCCAGCTGCGTACGTGACCCTGGGCACACAGATCACAGACGCTCTTCCAGCCTGGTTTTTATTTTTTCTTTCTTTCTTTTTTAATCTAAGTGACATTTCTAAAAGCACGTACCCTACCTCAAAGGACTTCTGTAAGAAAGTGACTTTGTTTGAAGCAATGATGATATGGCTGACAGAGAAACTGCTTCGTCAACGTTAGCAATTTTTATTCTTAAAACCTCATTAGCAGCTTCAGAATCGTGCCTAGGGTTAGCACATATTTATTGTAAGTCAGATCCAAATTCATTTTGAAAGCTGAGGGTCTAGGGGTGTTGTGTTAAGAAGATCTCTAAGTACTTTGATGGCTGCCAGACTTAAATTTGCACTCGAACTGGAGGGATCACTGACCTGGACACAAAAGAAAGCAGTTGTATTTTTCTTGTGGTTTTTCAAAAACAACAACAAAATCCTTCCTTTTGATACAGGTTTAGAAGAATCACTGGCTTTATCTAAGGTGTCATGATTAATTTAAGGATATAGAAAACAAGATTGAAACAAATCTAAGTGTACCTTTCCTGAAATAAAATATTTTAAATTTAATAAGTGTGGTATCCATTACGGACAATGGATTCTTTTATATGGAGCCCAGAAACAAATGACCAAATATTTCCCGAAGAGTGGCCTCCCTCAAACCATAGGTTCACATGGTTGATATTTTAGAAGAAGCAAAACTCTTAGGAGTGAGAATGACTGTTCCCTTCTACATATAATCAGAATAAGGGAAGGCAGATATGTTTTTATACCACACTTCAAAATCAGTTTCAGAGCAAGGAGGGCTTTTTACGTGGTCCTCCTTCTTTTAAGAGTGACATTTCCGAGCGCGGGAGATCATCCCGTTCTCATCCTGTTCCCAGCTGTCCCTCTGCTACTCAGAGGCGGGACTCTAATCCACCCAAGTGCTGGCGTCACTAAAGGAAGACAGTGGCCTAGAAGTCTTTCAGAGGATTCCTTTATTCATTTTTAAATGATTGATGGAGGACCTGCTGTGTTCAAGGCCCTGATTAGGCGCAGAGATAAAGCAGAGCCTGAGCGAGGGGTCCCTGCCTCCCGGAGGCTACACTGCAGGGGGAGGCAGGTGGACAGCAAGAACGTGCAGCGGGATAATGGAGTGCCACAGAGGAAGATAAAGCAGGGGGAAGGGAGTGGGAAGAGGGACTGTCAGATGCTCTGAAAAGCCTTCCTAAGGAGGTGTTGTTTGAGCAGTGATCTCAGTACCGGGGAAAGAGCCTGTCGCCCGGACACAGGACCAGGGACAGGGCGAGCGCAGGGGTGTTGGCCAGCTTGGGTGTGTTGTCCCCTGAGGAGCAGCCGGCAGGTCAGCGGGGCTTAAGTGCAGTGGGGAAGGTGGGGACAGAGGCAGGAAATGGGTGGGAGTGGCAGCGAGGGGCCGGATCCTACAAGCCTCAGCAGGAGTCCGGATTCTGTGGTTTCTCTGTGAGCTCACTGGGAGTTGCAAGCAGGCAGGGCACATAGTCTCATTTACACATTTTTTTAAAAAGACTTTATTTATTTGTTGGGGGCGGGGAGGGGTGGAGAGGTAGACAGGCAGAGGGAAAAGCAGACTCCCTGATGAGCAGGACTTGATCCTAGTACCCTGGGATCCTGACCTGAGCCCAAGGCAGACGCTTAACCAACTGAGCCACCCAGGTGCCCCTCACTTATCCTTTTTTTTTTTTTTAAGATTTTATTATTTGACGGAGAGAGACACAGAGGGGGAACACAAGCAGGGGCAGTGGGAGAGGAAAAGGGGAAGAGAGGAAGGGGGAAGCAGGAGCCCAACACGGTCTTGATCCCAGAACCCCCCTGGGATTATGACCTAAGCCGAAGGCAGACGCCTAACAACTGAGCCTCCGGATCGCCCCCCTCATTTATACTTTTTTTTTTTTAAAGATTTTATTTATTTATTTGACAGAGAGAGATCACAAGCAGGCAGAGAGGCAGGCAGAGAGAGAGAGAGGAGGAAGCAGGCTCCCTGCTGAGCAGAGAGCCCGATGCGGGGCTCGATCCCAAGACCCTGAGATCATGACCTGAGCCGAAGGCAATGGCTTAACCCACTGAGCCACCCAGGTGCCCCTCATTTACACTTTTTAAAAAGTAATGCTCTGGTTGTTGTGTGGGGAAAACCGTGGGACTGGCGTGAGACCAGGCCACCAGCAAGAACACAACTGCCTAGACTACGTAAGACAGGATGATGGCTAGGACAGTGTTGGTAGCGTCAGAGGTAGTGAATATGACTGGGTTCAAGCTGTATTTTCAAAGTCAGGATTTGCTGATGGGTGGGGTGTGGGTGTGAGGAAGGCGGGAATCCAGGATGATGCCAAGGCATGTGACTTGAGTTACTGGCCCTATGACAAGGCCACTGACCACTGAAGAGAAAGGGGGTAGCACTCAAGAGTTCGGTTTCAGGGGTGCCTGGGTGGCTCAGTGGGTTAAAGCCTCTGCTTTCGGCTCGGGTCATGATCCCAGGGTCCTGAGATTGAGCCCCACGTCGGGCTCTCTGCTCAGCAGAGAGACTGCTTCCCCTTCTCTCTCTGCCTGTCTCTCTGCCTATTTGTGATCTCTGTCAAATAAATAAAAAAAATATTAAAAAAAAAAGTTCAGTTTCAGACATGTTCATTTTTTGATGCTACCTTGGGTATCAGGAAGGCTGGGGAATTTCAAAGTTAAGAGCTTAAAAGCTGGGGCACCTGAGTGGCTCAGTGGGTTAAGCCTCTGCCTTTGGCTCAGGTCATGATCTCAGGGTTCTGGGATTGAGCCCCGCATCGGGCTCTCTGCTCAGCAGGGAGCCTGCTTCCCCCTTTCTCTCTGCCTGCCTCTCTGCCTACTTGTGATCCCTGTGTTAAATAAATAAATAAAATCTTAAAAAAAAAAAAAAAAAGAGCTTAAAAGTCAAGCCCAAAGATATAAATTTCGTGGCCACATACATTAATAGCATGTAAAGTCCTGGGACTGGAGAAGAGACCATCGAGAGAGAGAGACTCTAGAGAGACAGGAAGCTTGAGCCTTGGGGTTCCTCAGCACCTAGAGGTTTGAAGAAAGAACCCCGTCCAGCAGAGCAAGCGAGAGAAGCCAGAGGAGGAAGTTCAGGAGGCACTGTGGTTTCCTAGAAGGCATCATGAAAAGTTATCTCGAGGAGGAGGAAGTAACCAGAGCTGCCAGGAGTTCCAGTGAGGACCCAGCATCAACCACTGGCCTGGGCAACGCGGACGGTGGCCTTGACACAGGGTTTCTGGCAATGACGACGACGACAACGCCACATTCAGTAAGTGGGAATCCCGACATCAGCGTGATGCTCCAGCAACCACCTCGACACCAGGGCTTTCCATCCGGTAGAAATGAGGTCTCCGTTTCAGTTTTCATGCCACACCATCCTCGGAAGGTAACCGATCCCAAAGGGCATCGCCTGCATGGACACCCGGTTACAGGGCGTATCTCAGTGCTGTGCTTTCCAGGGACAACCGGTGTGAAAGCTTCCAGCGGCTCCTGACTCTCTCCCACCTGGAAACGCGAGCTCTGGGAGATCACCCGGTGTTAGGCTAGA